GTTGGCCCTAAATACACACCAACTGGCTCTTCAGAACATAAAACATTCCCAAATACCACAAAATCAGCTTTTAGCCATCAAATCTTATCAATAACTAGTCTCAGCAGACAATTTACACATTTTTGTATTAATTTATACCTTTTGACCATTATAATAATTTGATGGCCAAATTTCCATCCTTTTTATGGTAACAAAAATTGAACAAAATTATTATTCAGTCTGCTTGCAGAAATTGATATTTTTACATTTGAAAAAGGCTTTCATAAACCATCAATGTAAAAATTTTACTACTAAATGTGAAATAATAAGGCCAGGCTACTTCAAAGTAATTTTAGGCCAGGCATAGTGGTTCATGCCTATAATCCCAGCACTTTGGGAGGCCAAGGTGGGAGGACTGCTTAAGGCCAAAACCTTGAGACCAGCCTCGTCAACACAGTGAGACCCCATCGCTACAAAGAAATATATTAAAAAATTAGTTGGGTATGACGGTGTGTGTCTGCTGTCCTAGCTACTCGGGAGGCTGAGGTGGGAGGACTGCTTGAGCCCAGGAGTTCGAGGTTGCAGTGAACTATGATTGTGCCACTGCACTCCAGCCTGAGTGACAAAGGGGAGACCCTGTTTCTCAAAAATAAAGAGTAATTTTGTTAAAACTCATTACTTGTTTAACAATATCCTTATGCTGCCTAACTGTAGGGAGAAATTAATGTCAAAATAATTTCCTGTAATTTTTTTTTTGAGACAGCATCTTGCTCTGTCGCCCAGTCTGTAGTGCAATGGCACAGTCATGGCTCACTGCAGCCTCCACCTTCTGGGCTTAAGCGATCCTCCCACCTCCGTCTCCTGAGTAGTTGGGACCACAGGCTCACGCCACCACACCCAGCTAATTTTTTTTTCCTTTTTAGAGATGACGTTCTCCCTATGTTGCCCAGGCTGTTAACAACTTCTGGACTCAAGTGATCCTCCCCACCTCAGCTTCCCAAAATGTTAGGATCACAGGAGTGAGCCATCGCACCTGGCTAATTTTCTGTAATTTTAAATTCACCAAAAATTCACTCTTTCTCTGAGAAAGTAGAACTATTTTAAGTTGCCTGCACAGATCTAAGCTGGGTTGCTTGCTATGAATAGCAAATTCTGGTAGAAATTATTTACTGCAGTGACTATGCATAATTTCTTGATCAGATCATAGATTACATCAAAATTAAGTCAGAACTTCCCAAATGAAAATGTCAAGGTAAGAGTTTGCCTTATCCTCTCTTGACTACCGTTTCATTTTTAATCTCTCTATAAAATCATGGAATCCATTTGAGATATGAACTGTGGTTTCTTAGTTAAATGACAGTAATAAGCAGAAAAATTCTCAGACCCAAAGACAAGAAAAAACATTTACCTACAAATAATTTTTATATTATGCTCCAATATTAATAATCTATCAAATGGCATTGCCAATGGTTTCAACAATTTCTACTTGAGAAATACGCTGAGAATATCATGCCAAAAAAGTGTCAAAAGCATGTGAACTTCACTAGAATTTATGGAGTGTCATATTTACTTTCAAATCACTTGAATGAAGAAATTAATACAGTAAGCTTAATATTTTTCTTAATAAAAAGTTATGCTTTTAATTTTTACATCTTTTTCCAACATATGTTGCTAACCAAGTTGGTGGTACTTACTGTATATATCAATTTGTAACAAAAACTCTAAACCTCACTTACCTTTCAAAGTCTTGTTCAAATGCCTTGTCCACCAAAAGCTTCACTGATTCCAGCAGATAGATATGATCCCAAACCTCTAAATTCCCTAGAACTTCTAAGTAACTTTTCACTGCTGGAATCAGTGAAGTTTTTAGTGGACATGGCATTTGAACAAATCTCATCTGCTGAATACAAGTCCAGCAGATGAGAACCAGTCTCTAGAACCAGTATCATGTGCTGAATACAAAGTCCTAAATGCCTGATCTTCCCTGGTGGGTAAGGAGGAGGGCTAGAACTCTGACCTGGGAATCAGCAGCTATGCTGTATGTGAGAGCTAACGCACATGGCTCACAGCAAGAGCAAGGGGAACCAGCCAGCAAACTGGCAAGGAATAAAGGAGAACTAACTGGTATCCAGGGCAGAAGGACTCAGGACCAGGACTTGCAAAAATGTCTGAAAAGATGGCTCAGAACAAAGGATTTATGGTGAAAGGCTGATAAAAGAAAATAGACAAGATAAACAGGAGAGTAAGCACAGAAGGGCCTGGAAAGATCCCAAGGCAATGTTGTACAGTAGAGTGTCTTTGACTAAACCAATGGGTGAAAGGTCTTAAAAGTTCTGCATCCTTTGGGACACTTAAGGGCAGGAGATATGTCTTATATAACTGAATTTACAGTCAGAAGAGCTGGGCTCAAGTGCAAGCTCTGACATTTTCCAGCTGTGTGACTTGGCAAGGCAATTACTCTGAACTTCAGATTCCTTGTCTATGAAAAAGAGATAACACCTATTTCACATGGTTGTTCTAAAGATTAAATAATTTATGTGAAAGAACTTTACAAACTTTAAAACTACAAACGTAGGATATTATTAAAATACCATAGTATGCTGCTATGTGAGCTAATTTGAGTAGCTTTTTACTATGGAAAATTTCCCACACACATATTTTTAGGACTGACGTTTTGCTCTGATTGACACTGGTTAACTACCCTCAACTATTTAAAAATGTCTGAAGATGTAGTTGAATGGCATTGTTCCATTTCAATTTTATTTCTCACTAGAGATTTGGCCATTAATATTTTCTGCTTTCATTGTTGTAGAAAAAACAATCTTCTTCTCTTCTTCCCCACTGAGTGTATGTGTGTGTCCCCATAATTATATACCAGGTATGACGCAATCCTTTCTAGACAAAATTTATTAGAAGTTTTCCTGACTAGACAAATTTTCAGTTTCATCAAGAAGTCTTAACAGAACAGTATTTCAAAAGTGTGATATTCTTAGAATGAAAAAAGTTCCCTTATCATTTGCTTAGTCAGTGAGGCATTTTCTCACTCTCCTCAAAAAACATTATGGAAGAAAGAAACATTAAAAGTGAGATTTTCAAAAAGTAATAAAGAGCAATCAACGGGAAAAGGAAAATATGAATACAAGAAGATTTTTCCCTAGAAAAAAGAATTTTTTTTTTTATAATACCACTGAAGTTGCACTGGAAGATCAAAAAAATGAGATATTTGCACTGAGATCCCATGAATCATCATCAATTTGAGTCCTGGTGTACAATTTAAGTTTGAATTTTATTTGAATAAATAACAAATACTAAGTTCATACACTTGTAAGATAGTGGGATTTTGTATATATACAACATATTCTATATATATGACTTACAGGCTGCTTTTATTAATATTAGGATAAATAAGTAATTGAACAATAATAAATTATACAAAAACTAAGAGACATATTAACTTATATTTAGGATAAATTGTATCATGACTTTGTCTATACTGGCACAGTGTAATTTCTTATTTAGTAAAGAGAAAAATAAGCGAAAATCTGAAAGTAACTATAAATTTAACAATTTAAATTACAAAATTGACTCTGGTAATTGAAGTGATTACCATCAGAATTTTATTACTATTTTCAGGAATCTGGATAAATTCATTATTTACAAGCCTCTAGATAAGTTTAAGTGCCTCAGAGAAAAAAACTTAAGTAGATTTTTAAAAACAGAATACCATTCACTAAAGTAAACACTTTGTAACACAATGGTTTCTGGAATATTATCAGCCAATGCCAAACATCAATTAATAACAAATTAACAAGAAAGAATAATTTATATAACTAAAATGATTATTATATCTATTAATTCAAACAGATTAGAAATTAAAACTCCCATGTATCAACAACTACCTTTGAAACATACTAGTAAAGCACTGAACAGAAATAGAGTTTAGATGAATGCATAGAGGGGTCAATTTTTACTAATACTTGGTTAAAAAATAAAAATAATAACCTCCAAAATCTTAAGTTCTAGGAATAAAGTGACAATCCAAAAGAAAAGATCAAATTCTAATGCAATTTATAAGACTTTAAAGATAACCAAGTTAAAATTTCACATACGTTTGCTTTTATGTTAGAAATTTTAAAGTGCTTTTGATCATCCCTCTGCTTTGAAATCAATTCAAAATTACATATTTTTTGAAATAACATATTGTTGTTAAAACACCAACATGTATTGATAATTTTTAATACTTTTTTTAGTATTTTAAGAAAAATACTCATTTTTCAAAAGACTATATTATGTGTTTTAAACAAGTTTTATTTCCTACACCAATCACATTAGGTAATATTTCAACTCCAGTGATCTGGGGCCAATAATTAGAGCTATATGGTGACATTCAATAATAATATTCCTAGTATTCACCTTAATTCCCTAAACACTGACTAAAAAATGATAGCATCAAAGCCATGCTTATGAAAAATCTACCTTAAATTACAAGTTACACTTTTCTCAAATATATCCTTACAAACAAGATTGCAGAATTATGCTCATTTTATAACATAAAGTATATATATAAATAAAAGCAAACATCTGTAATTTCAATTCATTTTAATATGCACATCAAAATATAGCACAAATATCTTCATTAATAGCAATAATATAAATCTGTGGGCAACATATATTGTCTTTATAAAAATATTTTCTTAATTCAATGTAAAAATTATTTAAGAGAATTAAAGTTTAAGGACAATTTTTTATAGCTGAGAATAATACAGTGCTTAAATTCTGAAACAGTATAAACCTCGTCACTTAGCATCACATTTATCTGCTAGGTAATCATAATCTAGAAAGAGCTAAATATTCATATGATTCTTCCAAGTACAAGATTAACCATTTAAAGTACATATCACTATCTATATAGATCATATATAACAGACAGAATTTGAAATACACCAAAATGTCACTTTACCTGTCAATGCTTCCAAAAATGACAGAATTTTTTTTTTAATTTAGTACTATTTAGTACTTACTTAAACAAGACCTTTTGCCAGCTGTGCTTGCACCACCTGAACACAAATTGCCTCCTCGATGAATCAATTCAAGTTCTAAATTGGTTCTGTAAGTAAAACATTATATCTCAGTCACTAAACTGAAGAGTCTTTACTAATTTGCTTTACTGACATGTCTGAATCAACCTAAAAAATAAAGTTCTTCAACTTTTTTTGCAAAAGCAGTTTTTATGTTGTATCAATAATAATCGTATTTATCTGATATTAAGAAATAAAAAGGGAACAATTTATCCATCCTTACTTATATGTTCATATTTATACCTGCAAAAAATTGCACACATCATGGTGTAATTGTTGCAAAGTCCCAACTCTTGGCACATACTAAAAACTAGGCCTTAAGAAAAAAAAAAACCTGCAACATATTTCATAAACCTTCATAAGAATATGAAGAAAGAATTTGTACTCCAACATCAGCCACTGTGTAGGTGGTTATTGCCATATAAAACACAAGGGCATACCAATTTTTCTATCAGAGAAATGGTTATCATTCATTAGAGGTTAGATGGTATCTGGAAATCAGTATTAAGAAACAAAATCACTAATATCGAAATGGCTAAGAACAACACATATAATTTAACAGCAGTCTCTCTTATGGACTTCTAAAACTAGTTTCATTAAAATACACTGTGTAACTATTGATATGGCTAACCATCAATATTGTTCATACACCTGAAATTGCAAGGTATTTAGCAATTATTAGCTTACAAAATAGCAATAATCAATAAATCAACATTTCAAAAATCAAACTAATGCAGAATCTAAGGATTTATTCAAAAACAGTAGCAGTAAAATAACCAATTATGCCAAAATAAATGACAACTCTGAGAAAGAATTTAAATTGTATTTTTCTTCAACAGTATTAATACACTTAGACATACCTTTATTTTCTACAACCAAAACTGAATAGACTAGTTTATATCCAAGATATGCATTTAACCCTAATAGTGAGATACTGTCCCACTTAAAAAAAAAAAAAAGAGAAAAAGCAGTTTCAAGCTTACTCTTTGCAAGTGAATTCATGAAAGACTATTATCCTATTTTATTTAAAACAAAACATTTTGCACTAGTTTGGTTGTATTTTGAACACAGAATGTTTTGAGATTATATTTCCATGTATTTACTTATAAATGCAAATTGTTAAAAATATTAATATTCCTAAGTCTGTACATTTGCCACCCATTTCTAAAGGAATGCTTTAATCCTCTCTACTCAGGGTGGGAGAAAAAGCAATTTAACACTGATAATGTTCCAGCTCAGAGCTCCATCTGGTTGCTGCTGATAAGGGCATCTGTGTGACAAGGGAATTTTCCACCCTTCAGGCGATTTGCATTGCTCACTGAACTTCTAAAAACCTACCAGCAAGGAAGCAGGGACAGGGATTTCATACTAGTGGACAGAAAGCGAGCGGAGACCAGCATGTGTTCCTTCATCAAGGGAATATAAATGAGATCAATACATTTTGTTTTCACAAATCTTCTGTTGCCTAATCTGTAGAAAAAAATTAATGGCTATATTCTCTTATAAAAACTAAGATTTCCTAGATACTACTTTTAAGAGAGCTAACCAGAAACACAAACAATACTTACAAATGAATGTTAAAACCAGAATGTCAACATTTCACCATATTTGCAAAAATATTCATTAAAATTAAATATAAGAACAATTCTGTTTTCTCAATCCCCAAATATAAAGGATGACAAACATGTTACTAAGAATTTCATTGCAAAGAATACTGGGAAAAAAACTAGTAAAATCTAATTAATTATTCCAGATTATGACTGGAAGATCTCCTATGCAATATTCTTTCTGAATTAAAAATTAAAAAACTACCTATCCAAAGGATTAATGTGAATAATATCTACAATTTTACATTTCTTAACATTTTTTTTTTGAGAGATGAGGTCTTGCTGTGTTTCCCAGGGTGTATTTGAACTCCTGTGCTCAAGCAATCCTCCTGCCTCAGCCTCCAAGTAGCCAGGAATAGGCACACACCACTGCATCCAGCAATATCTAGGATTTTAAAAACCAATATGGCTCTAAATATCAACTTTTATTTCATTTATGTGAAAACTGGTCCTTTGAGACATGCTAAAGAACACACAAATGGGTCATATGTCCCATGTCCACATTTCCTCAACTGCTGAAATTCACACAGCAGTATTATGTTTCTTCCCTCCTCAATGAATGATGTAAAACTAAAGATATGCTGGGAGTGGTAACTTTCTGAGCTTTTTGCTGTGAAAGAAAAGCAGACTCTTTTCTGTATTTTCTAACACAAATACATTCAAATTAGTTTGGAAGAAAAAGGAGAAAATCTCCACATCTGAAATAATGATGAGAAAGACTGTTTAAAGCCTACCCTAGTGGCCACCTAGATATGCGTATTAAAAACCCCTCTAACTATGCTCCAGCTTCTTTTTGCATGACCAAAGTATGCTGTCCTCTCAACCCCCCATTCCACACTAACTTCTATTTTAGACCATAATTTGAAAAGCAAATGTGTGTACACACACTACACACCCCACACTCTCAAACACACGTTGGTTTGGTGAAAAAGGCAAAGCTTCTGGAAAGAGATCTAGGTTCAAGGCCTGAGTAGACCACTTAGTAGCTGAGCAAGTTACTCAATTTCTCAGGGAAAAAAAAAAACAGTATCTTCATCCATACCACAGCCTACATTATACAAGAGGCAATTCAAGTTTTAACTTCTCCAGGAAGCTTTCCTGGGACAGGAAAGAAGGCCTTACACATATTTCATATTTCAATTTGCTCATCTTCCCTTCAGAAGTTCTACAGTACTTTCTCTATATGACATTTTTAAAAACAAATTATATTCTGTTATATAGATTGATGTTATATTAGTTCCATCTCCTCAACTAAATTGT